GAGTTTGGAAAGGTCATGTTAACAGCAATCTATTTGGCCAAACACCTCCATAACTAAACAAAGGAAACGCTAAACCACGATTTCAATCACATTGAACGCAGAACAGCTTTATTGCACACTCACCGCTTTCTGCGATGCTTCCACTGAATATGTCGCATGAAGTCCAATCGCACAGAATTCACATGGAAACGTAATATGCCCCTACCATCAGGATAACAGGCTTATATACTGCCCAGTATCATCACGCGTAATAATGAGGCATTATTCCTGCAGTTCGTTTTCGGATTTCTGGAATTAATCCAGAACGCCTCGAGGATTGCATGATTGCAGGATTGCATGACTTTGAATGAGGTATCTACCGATTTATTACTCTTTGTATTCTTGTTTAGCAAACATGAAGTGCTATTTTGTTCTTTATTTACGAACAAACTGCCCTTTCAGCCGATTTCGCCTTCCTCAGAGCCTGGAAAGGTCAAGTTGACTGCAGTCTACACGGCCAAACACCTCCATAACTAAGCAGAGGAAATGTTGAACCAAAATTTCAATCACATTGAACACCGACTCTTTGCATACTCACCGCTTTCTATGAGTCTTCCACTAAATATGTCACGTGAAGACCAACCGCGTAAAGCTCGCGCGGAATCGCATTGTGCCCATCTCATCAAAATAACAAGCTTATATACTACCCATTTGCGCGCTTGTGTTCTCGATTCTTGCGCGAAGATCGTAGCCTCTACTTCAAAATTTTCTCCGTTATGTCTCTGCGTCCTATGCGTGCCTAGTGGAGTACTTGGTTCACGTTTGCCGACTAGGTGTTCTTTTATACGTACGCAGAGTGGTGTACCCGTTTCGCCAACATATTCGTCTCTGCACGCTTTACAAGAGATCAGATAGACTGTACCCGAACTCATGCTGTCACCGCCTCTACAATTGGGGCAAATTATGAAATTTTGCGTTGCACATAGACGGTCGCCGTATAGGCGGTTACGAACTAGCTGGCGTCCTAGATTACTCGGTGGTATTTCGATTATCGTTACCGAATTCTCTAGACCGGCCCTTCTTAAACAGCGTTTTATAACTGCATTTACCTCATTTGAAATGAAGGGCAGTATAAACGAGACCTTATTGTCGCTAGCTTTATCGTTGGGGTAATTGTGGTTTCCTCTAAACCTACCTCGAGCTACAGTTTCACATTAGAAATGGCTATTTGCCGCGCCAAGTTCCGGGACTTCTCTCTCTGCTGTGTTCCTGTGCACACGCTGGTAGTTGTTCGAAACATGTTTCTCACAAGCGCCCTTTTGGTGTGAGAGGGGTGAGAGGAGAGGTAATGAACCAAGATGCTTTTACTACTTGGCTAGCTCGATACATCGCTAGGCCACCGTGAGTAAAGGCCAGACATGCATTCAATCACAAAGATGGTTAACGAACTCGAATGCATGGCGCATCCACTAGGGTTGATCAACGACTAGTGTTTACCCTTTTTTTTCCATGAATGGTCATGAATGTCGGTCCAGTTGGTTTTCCTTGGAATTCTGTGGCACTCTAGAAGAACATTTGCAGATCTTCAGAAAAATTGCAATTGCCGATTTTTGTTTGATGGAGGAACCTTTTCCGATATGAATATGCTACTAGTTTGTTAACTCTGGCGGGATAGGAGGTTTTGTTACTCCATGGAGGGTGAACCAGTCATTCTTGCTTATTCTTGATTGTCTAGCTTTTTACAACATTAAGAATAGCCAATGATACTTATTTTTTGAGAAAATTATTTCTACTGAGTTCACCTACATCGGATTGCCACACCATCATATTCGACAAAAATTGAAAACAAGTTACCCGATTTAAAAATGGGGCCGCCAGCAGTAAAGGGACATGCAGATGTGATCATATATGTACCTGTATATGCTAAACGTATTTCGACATCATCTTAACGGTCCGCACGTCTCACATCACATTCATTTCTGACATATATATATATATATATATATATATGAATGTATGTAATATGAAATTGGTAAGGTAATAGCCATTTCAAATGGCTACGAAACTGTGGCTTCTCGAGATAAGCGTAAAGGGAAAACCACGCGCTTAAAGGATAATTAATTCTGGCCAGAATAAGGTCCTGTTTTTCATGCCCTCCACTTTCCACGAAATAAGTGCAACTGTAAAGCGTTGCTTGAGAAGAGCTGGACTAGAGATTTCAGCAACTGACAGAAATATCATCGGGCACCCTAAGGTACCATCTGGTTCATAAGTTCCTATATGACCGTCTATGTATAATGAAATAGAAAAGAGGATGAAGCTTTCGGCGCTGATCAATCTTGAAGGATCGGCCATGCATTCGACTTCATCATCGTTTTGAAATAATTGAATTCACACCTAGCCTTTACAATGACCCGCGGTGGCCCACCGATTTATCGAGCCAGTGCCTCCATCCTCCCTGACAAGTCCGGTACCAATTTGCCGACCCGGAAGGGATGGAAGGCTTGACGGGCCATGGGTTTGGGAATCGATTCCACGTGTGTGTAGCAGAGCGCCTCTGACCACTGCGCCACGCGCGCCGTCTATGTATAATACGCGTGTATATAAAATTTACACGGGAAAAACCAACCGAGAAATGGCTTCCATTCTTAAACATCCGAATAAAGCTCTCAGTAAGTGGCTATATAACAAAATGGTATCGCAAGCCAAGTAGTAAAAACTTTCTAGCTCACTACCCCTCCTCTCATCCTTCACACATGAAAAGAGCACTTACCAAAAATGTGTATCGTGCGGCTAAAAATCTGTGCAGAGGAGAAGAGGAAAGGAAGGAATCGCAAAACCTGACACGAAAAATTGCCATTTCCAATGGCTACGAAGTAGAAGCCACTCGGGTTGGAGGAAAACACTGGGTAGTTTTCCAAAATAATATTTCAGACGAAAGTAAGATCGCCTTTAAGCTGCCCTTCATATCAAATGAAGTAAGTTACGCCATTAAAAAGTGCTTAAGAAAAAGTGGTCTGGAAATTTATGTAACGATTATTGACATCCCACCCAATACCCTACGCCATCAGTTAGTCCGCAATCGTCTCTATGATCGTTTGTGCAGCTCAGAAAACTGTATGATCTGTCCTAACGGGAGAGACGGAGATTGCATGAGTTTAGGTATAGTATACTTGATCTCACGTAATGCATGCGGCGAGGACTATATCGGGGTAACGGGTAGACCACTTTGTGTCCGCTTAAAAGAACATCTAGATGGAAAAGCTAAAATCCACATGAATCCACAGAGTTTTACTCCTTTAGGTACGCATAGGGCACAAAAGCACAACGGCGATGATTTTGAAGTGAATGTGCGGATCCAAGCGCAGGAATCAGAAACATCAACACGTAAAACTCTTGAGGCGTTTTGCATCAATTTCAAAAATCCAAAGATGAACCGGGAGGATGAATGCTTCACTGTCACACGTGACCTGGTGTCCTATTTCAAAATGATATTTTGACCCCGGGGCGTGTCTTGCTCGCGACTCCACGTGAACTACGTGTGGGCCAGTCCCGCACGTAGCATCACGGTGAGTGGCCTTTCTGTTCAATATGGCGTCTATTTGAAAGTTTGATCTTCATTAATACTTTAACCTTCTTTTCCACCGAATAATAAAAAGTATTCTAACATAAAATACGTCCAGGCTCTGAGGAAGGCGAAGTCGCCGAAACGTCAGCCATCGATCAATAACATCAAAAACAGCGACAACGACAACGAAGATCTGTACCAACCTCGCGTCAGCTTAAGAAGATCAGTTTATAAGATCACATAAATAAATAATACAACGAAGAATTGCACGGTACGACCAATCGGTAGGAAAGGTACCTAATCTTCTGTGAAGTATCAAGGAAAGAATACGTTGGTGGAACGGGTAGACCGCTCTGCGTCAGTTTAAAAGAACACCTAGTCAGTAAATTTAAATTGGAACCAAACACTCCACACTAGGCGCGCACAGGAATACAAAACGTCAGCGCAAGGAGGAATGCCTTGTTGCCCCGCGTGACCTCGCATCATACCTTGAGCTGATTCTATTGACCTGACCCATACACATTCCTCGCCCATGTCTCTACGTGAGGCTGCTCTCCACCATTTAACTGAGATACTTACAAAGAATAAAACAGTTCGTGTTTCAAAGAAGCTGCTTATTCTGCAAGTGAGAATTTATGTGTTAAGTCTTATTTGCCGACGTAATGAAAGTCGTTTGTTGAGTGGATTGCATGCCAGTTTGATCTTTCCCGGCTCTGAAGAAGGTGAAAACGGCTAAATGTTAGCTATTGAGTGCTAATAAATATTACAATACCAACTCGTGTTTGCTTATTAGAGAAAAACGGTATATATATATATATGTATATATATGCATGTAACATGTATGCATATATATGCTGCGCGAGTGTGTGGGCGGGTGTGTGTGGGTGTGGGTGTACATGAGAAATACGCATGTATTTGAACGCAGGTCGAGTTTTATTAGAGTAATTTACGTGTACTAGCAAAACCCGCAAGACTTTGGGCAGACCTTTTTCCTCAATTTGTTGTCGTATTTCGAATGAGTGCAGAAACCCAGTTTTAAAATTACAGTGCACCTAAAAAAGAATTTGAAGCTTGAGCGAGTTTAAAGGATAAAGTACTAGTGTATACAATATGCTGTCTCTGCAACGAGGGTCAGACGTGGTTGTCGGCTGAGGCGTTGTCGTAGAAACTGTCGTGTGGGTGGGAGTCGTACTAGTGGAAGCTACAACAATTTGTACGCAAGTAAGTGAATGCAAAAACGGTCCATAGTCCATAAAATGCTGATATATTTGAACACTACCGATCCGATAGAATAAGACGGTTTTGGTTGCAAAGATTCTGCTATAAGTAATTATAGGAATGATGTTGTGCGTAGAAACCAAGGTCGTTCCTGCATATTTCGAAGAACAGAATCTAAACGCTACGAGCAAGCTGTATTTTAGATGAGGTGTCACCATTGTTTATTATGACTCACCTACCTGTAACCAGTAAGACGTTTGTCGCTTCCCGCTTTAATTTCAACTCCAGCAAACCGACAACCGTCGGTAGCCACGCGATCTGTATAGCTAACAAACACTACTTCGATCTTTGACCCAACTGGTCCCTTAAAGAGTACTTGCTTGAAGATTAATGTTGCCAAAGGTTAGTGAAGTTTGTTACCTTAATCCAATAGTTGCACATTTTGAATTCGTCCTTTCCGTGAAGTAAACCTCTTTCACCTACGACATCTTCGAGCGCTCGATACGAGTTGGTTGCTGTTAGTATCTTACCGCAACCACTTGGCTGCAAGGTCCTTACATTGACGTAGACTCAAAACGAAGAGCTACTTCATGTTTAAGCTTTTTACTCTTTCATTGCAAAGATTTCCTCCATACCCTGTAGGGCAAATGCATTTAGAGCAATTCCTCGGATGAGGGAATCCCCCATTCTGGCACTTTGCTGAAGAACTCTCAGTGCATTTATCTAGAAAAATTTTGTTTTAAGTAGCAAGAGGCCGTATATATTTAGAGGGCAAAACACCTACAAAGCCGTCTTCTCACCGAGGCATTTATAATGCAGGTTCATCATGAGTATTTCGTAAAAAGAAACCATTGGTGATCCGAGGGTTTGCAAATATTTGGTGTCATGTGGTACCATAACTGGCTTACCGTTCTTTGAAACACTGAAATCAAGATGATTTTCTTCGTATTTTTGTTGAGCAAACGCGAGGTGTTACTATTCTTTGTTCACGATTAAGCTGACGTTTCGGCGGATTTCGCCTTCTTCAGAGCCTGGAAAGGTCAAGTTGACAGCAATCTACTCGGCCAGACGCCTCCATAACCAAACAAAGAAACTCCAAACCAAGATTTCAATCACTTTGAACACAGCTTTGCACACTCACCGCTTTCTATGAGGTCTCCACTAAGTATGTCACGTAGAGACCAACCGCACAGAAATCACGTGGAAGTATAATGTGCCCCTCACATCAGAAAAGCAGTTTTATATACTGCCCTATATCACGCGTGATAATGAGGCATTCCTCCCTGCGGTTCATTTTCGGATTTCTGGAATTAATCCAGAATGCCTCGAGAGTTTTTCGCGCCTGTGTTCTTGATTCGCGTGCAAGGCAAAGTCCTCCCCGTTATGTCTCTGGGTCCTATGCGTGCCTAGCGGAGTATTTGGTCTATGTTTGCCGGCTAGGTGTTCT